AGGCAGGCTTAGTTAAATGTTTAACAAACCGAGCAGTGGCACTAAGTAGCACAAAAAAAGATCTAAATGATGAATTAAAACAGATAGAAGAAGCGTTGGTGTTGAATAACTATCCTATAAAATTCATTAGGAAGATCACTAAAGGCCAAAAACAAAAAAAAATAATTGTGAAACTAGTAATAATAACATAAATAAGAAAGAATATAAGTCATCCACAGTTATACCATATAAAGAGGGGACATCTGAGACACTACGTAGGATTCTGAATAAAATAGGAATTAGGGTGGCATTTAAACCTACAAACTCACTCAGGGACAAGCTCTGTAGGTTAAAGGACCCAGTTGACCCAATTAGACAAAATAATATTATTTACAAAATACCATGCAATGACTGTGAGGTCAACTACATAGGTCAAACTAGTAGGTCAGGGGTAGTCAGATTGTCAGAGCATAAGAATTTAGCTAAAGTAAGAATGGTTGACCCCGAGAAGATAAGTAATTTAGAAAAAAGCTCAGCACTAGCACTGCATGCATTAACACACAACCACACAATAGGGTGGGAGAGAGTTAAAATTCTAAAAAGTAATCTAGGTAGGTGGAGAGAGAGGTTGATTACTGAATCCTTGTTCATCGAGTCTACACCCAACACATGCAATAGGAATGACTCGTCACTCATACCTGAAATATGGAAAATACTACTACCAATCAAATCAAGTGAAAGTCAAGAGAAAAACAATGGAACTATATAAATGAATTTAGGAAGTCGTGTGATTACCTTGATATGATTATGAGCAATAAATTGTGCTCGAAACGTCATCAGTAAACATTACTGTATAACACTGTGAGACTTTATCAAAACAAAATTTACCCATAATGGAATTACACTCTACCACAGTGCACAAGTTTTATTCTTATATTAACTACAAACAATATTGGACAAAGTCCCGAATGGCGATATCAAAATCCTGATGGGCGACATGAATGCGAGGCTGGAAGGAGAAAACAAAGGAAGAGAACTCACCATGGGTCGAGAGGCCCTCGGCGAAATCAACGACAATGGTGAACTCTTCTCAGACTTTTGCGCCTCCAATCATTTAGTGATTGGTGGCAGTGTGTTCAAACACAAGGATATACACATTGTGACATGGATTTCACCAGATGGAAACACCAAGAACGAGAAAAACTTCATCTCAATTTCAAGAAAGTGGAGAAGGAGCCTATTGGACACAATGTCGAGGAGAGGAGCAGGTGTGCGTTCAAACCACTATCTAGTACAAGGGACTTTCAAGGTGAAACTAAAGGCCCCGTAGATAGCTGGAGCAAAGCAGGTAACACTACGCAACATCACGGAAGAATCATGCGTGGAAGAACGTTGGAAGTCTCTGAAGGCGATTCTCAACGAAACGTGTTCAACGGTTTTAGGAAGAAAGAAAATCCAAGACAAGGAATGGCTCTCAATGGACGCTTGGAAATTAATAGAAGAGAGGAGAATGGTGAAAGAGAAAATGATCCAATGCAAGGACGGACAGGAGAAGGAGACGCTGAGCTCAACTTACATAGCACTGGACAAAGAAGTGAAGAAGAGTGTAGGAAGGACAAAAGACAATTCTACAACAACCGGGCCACTGAACCTGAGAAGGCAGCAGGCAAAAGAGACCTGAGGACACTATATCAGATAACCAAGTCTCATCCACAATGGAAAACTCAGCGAGGCCTTTGGAGTGAACACAGGAGTCAGACAAGGCTGCCTGCCTATTATCACCAATGATATTCCCAATTGTGGTGGACAGACCGGTTTATGCGTCAGACAGTGAGCGGGAAACGAGAAGACAGGAATATCCTGACCCAACAGACGTGAAGAAACAAGAGGGCCTGGATTTCACGCGTGGATGATTTATGCTTGATGTTACTGTCACAAAATCGAAGACTTATAAGTGAAAACCGACAAACTGATCGAAGAAGCAGGCGGTGAAGAAAGGACTCCAGGTGAACATACACAAAACGGAGGTGATGAAAATAACCAACCAACAAAAACAACAGCAACAACAACATCCATCGTCAATCACCATCGACGGGAGGGATTTGAAAGAGGTTACTTCATTCACTCACTCATCTAGGGAGCATTGTCTCAGATACACGCAGTCGGAACGGATGAGGATGTCAAATAGAGCGAGAATCGGGAAGGCGAGCGAGAAACACATTCACTCATCAACCTGAAACCAATCTGGAAATCTTCGTCACTCAGCCAGAATCAACAACAAAATTCAGTCGGATTTTCAATACGAGCAAGCGTCAGGTCAGTGAGTTCTTCTATACGGATGAGAAACTTGGCGGGCTTCACAAAGAATATTTCCACCAACAGCCTGTTGCAGACCATACTTTTATCAACCAAAAACTGTTTTCGCTGGCTCTATACTGAAGATGAGATGGCCGGGCCGGAAATAATCACCACCAACAAAAACTTTGGGAACAAACAAACAAAACAAGAACCAATCGCCAACCAACAAATATGCAGGAGAAAGTGGAGATGGATTGGACACTCACTCGCTGAGGAGACCGCTGGCTGACATCGCGCGCGCGTCAGGACATTGCTCGAGTGGAACCAGGCCGAAAGGGAAGCGGCGAGTGGGACGTCAGTTCGAGGGTGATATGGAGGAGATCGTGTGAAGAGGAGGAGTTGAAACAGTATGGACTGTCATGGATGGATGTCGGTGAAAAGTACAGCAGAATGAAGACAGAAGTGGTAAGTGGAGACGTGCAGTTGAAGCCCTATGTTCCACTAGGAACCTGAGGGAGCAATAATAATAATGAATTAAGACATTCGTGTACTCCTGTATTAGTGCAACACATTTCGAACAATCTGATCACACGCACGGATTTGTCATAGGAATATATATGAAATTAATAAAGAGGTAAGAGTTGAGAAAAACAGACTTAGGTCAAGTTAGATGATGGAATATATTTGACTAAAATCATTCATTCAACTTAGGTCAGGGTAGCAACAGAGGTAATTACAGGTAGAGAGAATCTATGTAGAAGTGGGTTAGGGAATAATGCCATTTAAATTAGAACTGAAATTTAGCAAATAAGTTGGATGACGTAACATAAATGACCAGAAATTGAGCGATGGTCAAGTCAGTAACAGTGGTAGTCAGGTGTATAAATTAAATCGGGTGGGGGTAGAGAACAAGAAAGTTGAAAATGTAAAATATTACAATTGAGAAGACAAAATAATACTAATGAAGAGACAGAAAAAAAGGATTAGGTAGAATTTACTTATTGGGTAATAATGTAGATTACTTCCATTGCAAGTGTAGTGATTGAACGAACTTCTTCTGTATGCAGAGTTCATGCAGACTTAGCAAATGAATCACCATTGCTTCTGCAGTTTGAAGAAGTCGGATTCGTACACTAGGAAGGAAGGCCACTTCTTACTCTCTAGACTACTTTGAAGTTTGTTTGGGGCGTAGCTTGGTGTCCGGATTCTATCAGATGTTTTAAGATGGATTTAATTTAATTTCTGCACGTCACTACCACTGTTACTGACTTGACCATCGCTCAATTTCTAGTCATTTATGTTACGTCATCCAACTTATTTGCTCAATTTCAGTTCTTATTTAAATGGTATTATTCTCTACCCCACTTCTACTTAGTCTCTCTCTACCTGTAATTACCTCTGTTGCCATCCTGACCTAAGTTGAAACATTTTAGTCAATTATATTACGTCATCTAACTTACTGACCTACTCAATCTTACTTTAGTTGCTGTCTGATTAACCTTGTTTCTATATTAGATCATTCTTGTATTACCTGATCAATTATCTAAACTTGACAAACCTCATGTACACACACACACACACAAATAATTATATATAAATGCGAATGTACAGCTATGTGAATGAATTCGCCGGTGAAAATAGTCTCTTCGCTGAACGTCTTCTCTTTTTTCATATGATTCGTGAAATATGTAAACCTCCAGTATCAGTCACTTCATAACTTTTAACTGTCCGGCACACACGCTGTAATAAAGGATTAGTGCGTCAACCTTCCACTGGTCAAATGCTCGCTAACCATATCGCAATCGGTCTTGAGTTCGATTCCCAGCCAACATACTGCTGAATCACACTTAGCCGATCGATAGTAATCCCGGTAATAACGAAAGGGGTCTGGCTAATATAAGGCTAGCAGCTTCACCTCATATCATAAAAAAGCACCAGTGGTATTGAATAATCAAAGTACACGCTTGAAACCCGTTTCTGTTTTTGTTTTTGTTATTGTTCCCCTCAAAACGCAAAGGGAATACAAAAAACCACACACAACACAACACAAAATGGTTACATGCTTTTGTTATAAATGTATATTTTGCGGTATTGACACGTATGCACAAGTACACAAATATATGTGTGTATTACGTACATATTATACTGGGCATTCTCATATATACACATGTAGACACACCTACACACACACCCACACAACTCTAGTATGTGTTCTATGCTATACAGTATTGATAAGGATGACTGAAAGTTAGTCATATTTTATATTTTACTATTAGATCTTGCTAACAGATTGCTTAGCTCTAAACTCATCGTCATCAGGAGCAGTAATAATAGTAGCATTGGTCACCTAAGTAATATCAATAAAAATGCTTATTACATAAGGATACATATATAGATGTGTATACATGGTTACTGATGTATTTTACTTCTAAAGCATAAGTCCTTTTTGACTAAATGCCTCATACTACTATGAGTAGTATATATTTCTGAAAGAAAAAACGACTAGTCTATCAGGAACCGACGGCCTAGGAGATAGGTAGGAGTTGAAGTGACAGAGAAAAGAAACTGGAAACTGGAATGGAAATGACAGCGAAGCAGTCGATGAAGCAGAAGAGGATTCCTGTTCAACAGCAGAGAAGAATTGAAGGTGAAGCACATTTGAAATACTGTATGTATATATAAAATTGATTGTCTTAGCTTCCTAGAACTCTTGTGAAGTGAGATTATCCTCGTTCTTCCGTCATATCGACATTTTCCTGCTATAGAGAGACAGGGAAGAAAAACGATAAAAGAAATTAGATTCAAAGTATTCAAGGATGGTGTTTTACTCAATTCTATACTGGATAAATTCATTTAATATAAAACACAGTGAGATGGCATTTAATAACTCGAGAGTAATTTGAGCACAATTTATTACTGCTCATAATCATTTCAGTATGTATGTACACGAATCGATCATTTACATTTGAATAAATTTTGGTTGGCGGTTATTTACTTACTATTCATGAATTCTCTTTATTTGCTCAACTTTTTCTGACTTAACAGTTAGGCTCGTGGTATGATTCTACAGACATTTAATAGTATCTTTTGATTGGACACTAGTCAGTGACTAGTGTGATATGTCTGGCTAGTCCATTCTTTGGTGCAGACCGAATTCTATCAGTCAGTCAGGTTTGTGATGTGGCCACCATTCCGCTAGGTGGCTCGTCATCACAGTGCACAATGATTTGATGATATTAGATAGTTGGAGGCAATCAGCTATAGGAAGCGGGCACCTTGAACCTAGATTTCGTGTTAGTTGGCACTCACCGGTGCAGTCAGCAAGGCGTATCTGCAAACCTGAAGGAATTCATATCCCTTCTGAGATTCGAACCCGCGTCACCAAGTGTTGACTGCAGTCAGAGACGTGAGTAGTGAGCTATTCGTGGTCGCGATTGATGGCGAGCCACCTAGAATGGTGGCCACATTGTAAACATAAATGATAGAATTCAGTCCGCACCAAAGGAAGGATTAGACACATCACACTAGTTACTAGTGTCCAATCAAAGTATGCAATACAGTGAGTCCTACAGGAGGTCAATCACGAGCCCCAATAGCTCAGTGGTAGCGTTTCTGATTGAAGGCGGCACTGGGTGAAGCAGGTTAGAATCTCAGAGGGGTGGGATAATAACTATTTTACAATTATATCCTAGTCCTGTGTAATTTTTGTTTCTAAGACTCTTTTAATTTATATTCACACCTCCTAACTCCCATCTCAAGTTGAAAATTACTATTTCAATTTTGTTTGCATATTCATTTTTACACACTTGATATCCATTCTGATCCTGTGTAATTTTGTTTCTAAGCCTTTCCTCGTAAACCACACAGAATTGAAAATAATTGTCACCTTTTATTCGCCTTCATAATTATGTAGAATCAAATAAGAATTGTATCTATGTAAAAACTGTGTGTTTAAATGGGATTGTACAGTTACTTTTGAAAATGAAATCGTCGAAAAGATCGTCATCTTTGCTGAACTTCGTGTTCTCTTCTTTCTAATATCCTTATAGGTGTTTTTTCCACGATCTGACAAAGTTTCTTGTCTTCTCACGTTACACCTGTACATCCCATCGATGTGTCCTAGGTGGAACGAAACGCCCGCCCATAAGTCCCACTTCTAGATAGAATCAAGCGATCACGATTCATTAGATTTGTATGAATGTTCCCTGGCTTTTTAATGATCATCCAATTAACTTCCATTCTTGACAGTGAGAAGGAATTAAAGCCTGAGATTTAAAAATGTAAACTATTTGTAACAGGCAAAAGGAAAAACCACACATTCACTTGAACTTACATAACTTCCATCATAAAGGATGGCTAAAATTTCTTGAATGAGTGTGTGTGATAAATTATCCATAGAAGAATGATGATTCATGCCATCAACATCGACATCATGACGATTTTCATCGTTGTGATTATGAACAACACTGACTTGATTATCGCCTTGATGAAATCCTCCTTCTTCATTATCATAATTACTATTATCATGATGAATTAATTGTAGGCAGAAATCTTCAATTTGACACATTTTCTTTAGATAAAACTCTGTTTCCTTTTGTATACAATTCAGTATTTCTTTAAGTTGACTATTCTATGTATACAACAGACAAAAGGAAAGAAAGACAAACATAGAAATTATTTGTCATTAAACCGATTTCAATATATTTGTGCGTTGAAGTTTCTGTGGTGATTTGGCTAAGTTTTCGGGGTGGAGTTGCCAATACCGCGCCCCAACCCTCCCTCTTTATCTAGGCTAGAGACCGGCTAGAAAACTAGCGAGCTAGTAATCTAGGCAATCAAACCTGTACCTAAACTTTACAGACTTTGAGAAGGCCTTCGACAGACAGCGTTGACCGACAAGTAATTTGGAAACTACTCGAGTACTACAGCGTACAATATCAACCTTATTCAACAGCTGTACGACAACCGTACATGTCAAGTCATCCACAACGAAAAACTCAGCGAGGCCTTTGGAGTAAACACAGGAGTCAGGCAAGGGTACTTATTATCACCAATAAATGATATTCCTAACTGTTGTGAACTGACTGGATTATGCGTCAGACAGTGAGTGGGAAACGAGAAGACAGGAATATCCTGAACCGACAGACGCGAAGAACCTAGAAGACCTGGATTTCGCACGTAGATGATTTATGTTTGATGTCACTGTCACAAAATCGAAGACTTACAAGCGAAAACCGACAGATTGGTCGAAGAAGCAGCCAGTGAAGACAGGACACCCATGTGAACATAGACAAGATGGAGGTGATGAAAATAACCAACTAACCAACAACAACAACAGGAGCAGCAACATCACCAATCACCATCAACGGGAGGATTTGAAAGAGGTTACTTCATTCACTCACTCATCTAGGGAGCATTGTCTCCACTACACGCAGTCGGAACGGACGACGATGTCAAATCGAGCGAGAATCGGGAAGGCGAGCGAGAAACACATTCACTCATCAGCCTGAGACCAATCTGGAAATCTTCATTACTCAGTCAGCATCAACAACAAAATTCGGTCGGATTTTCAATACAAACAACGTCAAGTCAATCAGTTCTTCTATACGGATCAGAAACCTGGCGGGCGAGCGGGTCACAAAGAATATTTCCACCAACAGCCTGTTGCAGACCTTTATCAACAACAACTGTCTTCGCTGGATCTATATTGAAGATCAGATGGCCGGGCCGGAAAGAATCACCAACAACAAGAAACTATGGAACAAACAAACAAAACAAGAAGCAATCGCCAACCAACAAATATGCAGGAGAAAGTGGAGATGGATTGGACACTCCTTCGCTGAGGAGACCGCTGGGTGACATCGCGCATCAAGCCCTCGAGTGGAACCAGCCCGAAAGGGAAGCGGTGAGTGGGACGTCAATGTAAGTGTGACATGTAGGAGATCGTGTGAAGAGGAGTTGAAACAGTATGGACTAACTAACATGGATGCAGATGAAACATACAGCAGCAGAAGTCAGACGTGGCAAGTGGAGACGCGCAGTTGAAGCCCTGTGTACCAACTGGAACCCAATGGAACAATAATAAGTCGATTTCAATGTGTTTTTTCCGTTGATTGACACTGTCGAAATGTTAGACCTCTGTGTCGACATGTCGGCTCTCTCATAGTAGAGACGTTTCGACAATATTTGATAGACAGTGATTTATAGGATGGATGGTGATCAGGAGGGTTTCGTGTTTGCTTTCGGGAATATATGCATGGTTGTTAATTCCCGGCTGCCCACACCTTGGAAGTTGATTTTTCTTCATCTATCTACACTCTGCGTGACCACAAAGCCTAGGGGACAACTGCTTGACACCCACCGGTTACATACACACACACGGCCTTTTTGAACTGGCTTTTTGGATCGGTTCAGCATTAGTAAACTTACCGTCGGTTACGGACCACCACTGTAGGGTAAGTCAGCATGTGTAATTTTGGAGGTCGACCTTTTCTAACCCTCTCTTTACAGAGTGGAGATACAGCACAGCTGGTTGGCACGATGGTCATCTGAAGGAAACACCTTACTGCAGCTGTTACATCCCTGTTCCCCAGCAGTACGACTTTGTCGACAGATTGCCAGCATAATTTAAAAAATAATCTTACACTATGTTAGTAACCGCTTTTAATCTAATCAATATCCTAACAATCTACCTCAGATGGTAGGACCTACAGGAACATTCGTTCCAGCCAGTGTAGCATTTTGGGTGATTGCGATATGCAAGCCCGGTGACCACCATGTCAATGGTAGCAGCTATCGGTCGCGTAGTGATTCGCAAGTGAATTTAGCAGATGCGTATTTCACCACGTTCGGGACTCATCATTCATATGTGTATCTGTATTCCAAGTAAATAATAGTGTCTCCATTGAGAGAGAGAGAGTCTCGAACCCAGTCAGTATCCACCGTTTCGAGAGTAAAATCTTTATCCACTACAGCAAAGCACGTATACAACGTATCACTTAACCAGCTTGTTAATATTCTGGTCGACAGATACTTGGACTCATGTGAAAAATGGGCTAAATCCATTCTATCTATCTAACTCACACCACCAGCCCTCTTCATTCACTACTCTCCCCTTGTATCATCTCGTCAGGCAAAACCAGAAGCCTATATATAGAAAACTACATACTCGCACTAGCAAGGACAAAAACTCAACCATACCCTACTTGGCTAGCTCGTGTTCTGTTCGATAAATGAAGAATTAGGCGTGATACCTATAACTTATTAAATAGTCAGTAGAACAAGTGGATGTTGTCTTTCCAATTCATATCATTTACATAGGTACAACGTTTTCTTTCTTTCCTTTTTCTTTTATTCGTTCTTTCACATCCTGTATACCTCGACCATTTTGGTATCGCTTACGCCAGTAAATATGCTAGTATCTGCTTTTCTAACACCTTCAAACACTCTGTTTAAATTTTGGCTTTGCTACCGACATGCTAATATGTTGTTGTCAAAACGAACTGAGATAACCTTTAATCTATGTAGAATTTTATTTATTATTAATGTACTAACTGGATGCAATACTGTAGTAAAATTCTGAGAATTAGATTCTGTATCACAAGTACTGTTTCGGAATAAAACAAATAATAATAATAATTATTATTATTATTAAAGATAAGGGCTAAAGGGAGTCACTTGTTGTACAATGAGCATCAGTCATTATTATTAATTTTCAAATGAACTAATTGAAGTAGAATATTCACCCTCTTTTAACATGTCCTAAATAGGACGAAATGCACATTCTGAATTCTACTGCCAGGTCACCAACCATCAAATTACTTCGAGAAATATAAAAAGTTGAACTGAAGAGGTTACTTTCTTCTCACCTATCACCTCTGGAAACACGCATTTACACAGAGGAGAGATGGAAAAACGAATAATTTGAGATATAAACACCGTAAAAGTCTATCATATTACTAGGAGGAATTATTTCTTGAAGATATTATTTTCAGTTATTCCATTAGTTGTTTCTTTATATTCAACTGAAATGCGACATCTTTGTTGATCTGCCAGCTCCTAGTATGGGCACTTTCAGTGATGCCTTCAGATGAATTCATAACCATGTTATTTAGATAAAGCGTGTTGTTAACGTTGGGTTCCAGAAGGTTTATTTTATCCTATCTGAGGCCTGTGAGTTGGATTTCCTGGGTATGATGGTGTTCCAATTAAAATTTAAACCCACCATCCACTGTTTCAAACGCCAAAACGGTTATCCATATGGTCACTGAGATAGCAGAACCATCTCTTTATCAACGGTGTTGCTTCGCAATTCCAGTGGGAATAATCACTTTTTGTGGAGTTCCCTGCTCCCAAAAAGTAAAAATCGAAAGTCACACCTTAAGCTCACTGACACCAGTCATTAAGGTATGTCAAAGGCTTTAAAGAATTAATGTCACCTGTGAGATTCGAACCCACAATACTGAGTCATTTAACCTGATGATCACTTGATGATTTTCACCGATAAAATTCGGTCAGTATTTATACTAGTGATGACTAGACAACTAGCAATGGCATCGTCCTGGTAACCAAGCAATGTATGGATTACACTTCTACAAGAGGTCAGTTGTTTGCCTAAATATCTCAATGGTGACTTCTCTTACCATAGCAACGGCTGTCTCAGATTCAAATCTTAGAAGAAAAACTGGTCCTTTTTGAGTTATTGAAGCACAGCCACTATCATAGTAAGCACAAAATAATTCAGCAAAGAATATCCTTTTCGATAATTTCCTCCCCTTCCGGCTCTACAATTGTATATACGCATGTTTATATACATAGAATATTCTAGAATAGTCTCGTCAATAACAATATTAGTGTGCTTTTAAATAATATCGATTTGAAAAGTAAGATCACAATGGAATTATAGTTCACTAAAGATGCTTAAGTTATAATAATAATAATATAATAGCAAATAGAATATCAAATAAAATTAGGAAAATTTCTACAGAAATTGAGTATCATTCAGACCTAGATAGCCAAGGTAAGAATAATGTCTAAACTGGCTTCTTTTGGATGCATAAATTAGGCTTGTTAGTGTGCATCCCACCGGCTAGCCTCAGCAATATTTAGTAAACGAACTCTTAAGATTCGATTCTTCTTCGACTGTGAAGAGCAAAGCGGATGTCTTCATGGCAAGCTTAGAGAACACCCCACTAAAGGAAACCATGGATAGTTTGTTTATGTATAGGAGATATATTGATAATACCTTCATTGTCTGTGAGGAAAACTCTTCAACTGCCGAACTTCTCGGAACTTTTAATGGTTCTCACCTGTCTTTGCTTTTCACAGTCGAAGAAGAGTTGAACTCCTCGTTTCACTTCCTTGACGTTAAGCTAGATAGAAGAGATAATGGCACGTTGTTAAGGTCGATTTACCGAAAGCCAACATTCACTGGGCAGTAAACTAACTTCAACAGTTGGGTACCTTTAGGGAGAAAGAGAAATCTTATTCATTCCTTATGCCCCAGAATTCGTAAAATCTGCTCTGCAGAGACGACCGATAGAGAACTAGATAACCTTCGATCAAATCTCTTTAACAATGGTTATCCTACAAGGTTTATTAAATGTAACATCAAGAGAGAATCCGCCCCTAGACAAGTCGCAGCGCCAAATGTACTAAACGCACTTTTCCTGCAGCGGACTTGCAACTAGTTTTTACCAGCCGAAATATGATTAGACAAGGCGTCAAGGATAGATTACCGCTTCTGTCCACATCTATGTGCATTTACTCTTTTACCTGCTCCTGTGGAGCTGATTATATTGGACGTTGTAAGCGTACTCTCCGAAAATGTCTAGCTGAACACTATCCGGTTTGGTTAATGAAAGGCGAAGAAAGAGCTGCAAAGTCGTCTATTTTTGATCACCTATTAGAGTCTGGTCATTTAGCCCCATGTAATTCATCTTTCAAAGTTATCTACGTGGCAAAATCGAATCGATCCAAAAGTTTACGTTTTCTTCACTTATGCATAGCCGAAGCTTTAGCTATACATGAACAGAAACCTAAATTATGTGTTCAAAAGCATTTTGTCAAACCGCTTTCTTTACCTTGGTCATAGTAATGTTCTTTCTAGATTTTGTTTTATTTTATTGTACCACTTAAATTGTTTCCACTTCACTTCACATCTTTATTCTTATCATAATCGTACTCCTAATTTTTAAAATTTTTAGACAACGCTTGACATTTTCGATATCAATTCACTTACAAAACAATCTTTAATAATTTTGTAATTTATCCACTTCAACTCTACCCCTTATAACTTTTATCACATATATCCGTATATTGACTGTGCAATTATTTAGTGCCACTTAATAACTTTTTCTGTAATATAAATACGACTGTACAGCTTGAAAATGAAGTCGTTGAAAAGAAATTTCCTCGCTGATCAGAAATCTGTGTTTTTACTTATAAACTGATGCCAACCTTAATCGCCAATGGCTATGAAGTTACATAGATTGAGATGGCTAGGTCACGTGCTGCGCTTGCCTAACCATCGCCTCGCCCGTAGACGGCCATTACTAGCTGATATAGGTGCAGGTTGGAAAAGAGTAAGTAGTGGCCAAACAAAAGCATGACCTCATCAATCCATGAAATCCCTGACAGTTAGACTGAGTCAGGTAGGGAGATGCAGACTCCCGGGTTGGGGTCCTCGGGACTGACTCTAAGAATCAATGGCTGGAGACAATAGGTGTGACATGGCTCAAAATCGTTGTCAATGGCCAGCGCAGATGTATTCAGTCTCTGTAATCTTTCATATTCCTTTCTACCATTACCCATTTTGTTTCACTCTTATTCTTGTCAAAACTCTACTGATTCTCTTCACTCATCTTCTTGTCTACCTTTGTGTGCTATTTGGAATATGGCAACTCGAAGTGCCGCATTTTGGTGCCAAGTTCGACGTTGAATCCAGACAGACAGACAGACCAATGGTCCATAACAAGCGATAAGGTATTTGTAAAGAAACAAAACATCAGTTTAAAAAAAACTAACCTCTTTATTTAAAGAAATAATTCGTCTTTTTAATTTATCTTCATGTTTTTTATTTTGTTAGAATTTCTATTACCAATTATTGATTTTTCAAGCAATGATTGATTTGTCATCGAAGATTCTGGGCTAGTAGAAGTTGTTGGCGTTATCATTGTCTGCCTATTATGATTTTTAGCTAAAATTTCATTGAATGATTGTTGTATTTCATCAGTTCTATGTAGATTTTGTTTTAAACTCTTAGTTATATTATTTTCAATGTTCAAGGCATAATTATCATTTACATCGATAGCAGGGGAGGCAGTTTGAATCCTATGATATTGATGTATGCTATCTGTGGTGGTTGAATGTTCTAGATTATCGAATTGATTATGCTTACAAGATGAAATTGATGATACTTGTTGAGATGTAACGCAGTCATTGATATCTTCATCAGTTTTGTTTGAATATGCATAAGACGAACTGACGGTATACTGGTCGCTTAAAATGTGTTGCTGATCATGAGGTGGGTGTTGAAGATACTCTGAATGATGCAATTGATGATGGTCATGATGATGGGGATAATGACTGTGGTGTGTTGATGAATGACGACGAGTTGGACAAGGTGGAAGTGAATCTATCTGTTCAATATTGTCGTTACTGTGGTTACCATTGTTATAGACATCAACACCATAATTTGTTCTAGTAATATTCTTCTTATTATATCAGAATTTTGAATATTTAAGGAATTTTTCGGTTGTAATGAAGGTGATGTTGAAGCATTTTTATGAATAGTATTATTGCAGTGTGAGACAATAGTTTCGTCAGTACTTGGATCAGTTACTTCTGTAAAAAGAAAAGGAGATATTCGTGGACGGATACAGTTTAGTACGCCCAAAAAAACAAATCGATACACATCTTGACATAGAGATAAGAATAAGTGAGTCAACAAAGAGACTCTTCAGCGATTTCATTCACTTCACTGTACAATCTGTCTATTTTCACCATAGAACTTTGTACTGATGTGCGCAGCAGTTCAAGTCGTCACACTCCCTCCATGTAGCGCACACAAAGCAAGAGAAAAACGCAAAAAGGAATGCATAATAGAGACAGTTGACAGGGATATGAGACAAAAGGAATAGTAATAACAAAGAACAATATAGTGTCACTGGGAATTATAAGTCACAAGTAGTGGATGCATCTGTGCCATTGAAAACGATTTTGAGTCGTATCACCAATTGTCTCCAGCTATTCGTGTTTACCGTTCCGAGGACCCAAACCAGGAAGTTAACACATTCCTACGTCGCTGGCTGGCTTAAACTAACTGTTGTGAATTTCACTGACTTGTGACATGTTTTGGGCTGACCACCGCTAGCTGTTTCCCAGCCTGACCCTATGTCAGCTAACATTCCCCGTTGAGGAAAACAATGACTTGGCATACGTAACACATGTCCTAACCATCTCAGCCGATATACCTTCACAGCCTTGTGTATTGATTTCCACCCCCCTACTTACCTAGCACTCGATGCCTAACCTCAATATTGCTCACCCGATTACACCAATTAACACGGGAAATATAACGCAGGCACGTATGATCAAAGACAGCTAGCCAGCCTTTTCATATCTTCCACTCTCAATGGCCAGGTCTCAACGACAGTCAGACAGACAGAGCAAACTGCTAAGCAATACACATGCCCTTTAGTCGACAGTCAGCCGGATATCACGTCTACGTCAGAGACGGCATAAACCGACATATGCGAAACTAGCTTTCTGTATCCGTGCTGAGACTTTGTCAGTGATCAACCTGTTGGCGTTAGCTGATGCAACTTCCAAAATAAGCGAAGTGGTCAACACACTCAACAACCACTTCACTTTCTATTTTCTAAGCTAGGAGTCAATGTATTCCAGCCCGGTAGTCTTATCATCTTACCTTTGACAGCAGGAGCGAATCGCATGCCAAACATTTGTAAATTGCTGCTCAGCTCAAGGTGTTCAGAAGACTCTTCTCTATTTTGGCAGCGTCCCTACACCTAAAAGGAGGACTATATCAACGAGATTATTCCACTGATGGTAACAAGTCAATCTCTGAGTCGCTGAAGTCACTTAGGGTTAAGTTCATTAGTACATATATGAGTAAATTGAATAGAAACGGGGACAGTGGGGCATCCGTGACGGATACCGATAGTTGTCACCACTTCAGACGACAACTCGTCATAAGCCCTCACCTGGCTGCCTAAGTTTAAGTAGAGTGAGTGCCTTGATCAGTGCAATGTATTTTCTCGGCATTCCCTTTACAGTCAAGCATCGCCATAGTACCTCTCGGTCGGCCATCACTATACAATAGTCATTATTATGTACATAAAAATTTTCCGTATGTGTTTGCATATCTTCAAATTGTCAAACTTAGTGCATAAACAAAAGCATCCAGTGCGGAGTACTATTCACATCGTCAAAACACTTCAGAAGGGTGCGAGAAGTTGTGAGTTTAGACTAGAGATTGCGTAATTTTAAAAAGAATGCTATTCACATCCTAGTTTAGCAACATGTATCCATAATCCCAGTAAAGATTGAATCCACAACCTTCAAGTTACGACCCGAAGCTCGTTAACTATTCAGTTAATTGGACAGGAATCCGTCAATTCTAACTAAAGTGCTGCCATCAACCAACATTCTTCATTCTGACATACTGGGACCCGTTGGCGACGATATTCGACCACAACTTCAAGACACTTTTCCAAAAGTTGGAAGTCGATAGTTAGATTATGAGTATTTTTTAGGCATTAAGACTAATCTCAATGAAGGTCTTATCAAAGAACTCAGCTTCCAAGAGTTAGTTTGTAGGGATTAGACTCGTCGCAAGTTTGACCATAGAGAAATACTGAAACTTAAAGAACACTAGACAGTTGTTTCTTCCGAGTGGGTTGGAATCCCATTGGGTGTGTATCGCTGATGACTCTCGAACTAGGACGAAACAGTTGTCTAGTACTCTCTGGTTTTCAGTGATTCCCTAACTAACATCAATCCTTGGTCAAACTCAAAAGAACTTCACTTCGTAACTTGGATGTCTAAGGTTCTATCTTTAGTAAGGTGGTGGGTAAATGATGTTGAAACGTCCCAAACTCACCTGCCTATTTGGCCCTGTTGGTCTTCAGTGATTAAACTTGGGGTCAATCAACACTTGGAAACTTAAAATTTATTTATTTTCTATCTTATCTCCAAATTACACTGCTTAACAAAGAAATCAGCTATATAACCCAGCACGTGAAAGACAAGCTGTCGCATTTGGCCACTTCGACATGTATATACAAGTTCACTTGCTCTTGTAAAGCTGAGTACATTGGTCGTGCCATGCGTTCGCTTGTAAAACGAGCGCCAGAACACTATCTAGGATGGTTAGTATAGGGAGAACGTAAACGGGTGTACAGTTCGATAACAGAATATTTGGTGAATTCTGAACATTCAGCTCCATTTGAAAAGTCCTTCAAAGTCATATACAAGATCCGATCCAACCTACCAAAGGGAGTGAAATCAAGACATATATGAATAGTGATCCAAAACTCAAGCCTACTCTATGTGTCCAAAAGAAATACGTCCAACCATTGATCCTTCCATGGCCATCACGAAAAGTCAGTCTCACCAAAAATGATTATCCTATACCCTTTCTTGTCCAACCTTCTTGTTTATTTGTTACATTTAACTTTTTTAAATCCCCAACTGTATTATTAAATTTGGTTACTGTTTTTATTTTTATGTATGTCCGAATCTCATACCCATTTCGTTAATACTACATCCGTAAACCGTAATTATACAAACCGACCAGTTTTCCAGTAATTATAATCCTAATTTGTCTTTTCTACCCGATCTTCCAGATTATTACTCACTGGACTTTTTTAACTTGACATTTATTATTATTATTATTATATGCCATAGTTCCTAGAGGAACATAGGGCTTCAGCCACGCGTCTCCATTGCCTTCGGTTTTCTGCCAACTTTTTCACTCCCCTCCAGGTCTGCCCACATGCTTTCATCTCCTCCTCACATGACCTCCTCCAAGTCACCCCAGCGTGCGACGACCAACTCACCGCTTCCCTTTCGGGTTCCACTCGAGCAATGGCTTGTCTAGTGATGTCACTTGATGGTTTGTTTTCTCAGAGTATGGCCAGCCAATCCATCTCCATTTATTCCTGCCTATTTGTTTCACAATCGGTTCCTGCTGTGTTGGTTCGCTCACTGCCAGAGATCCCTGTTGCTGATCTATTCTGGCCATCTGCTCTCGAGTATTGAGCGAAGACAACCGTTAATGAAGGTCTATAGTTTGTTCGAGGTGCTCTTTATGACGCGCTGGCCAAGTCTCTGATCCGTATAGTGAGTAGCACTGACTTCACATTGGAGTTGAAAATCAGGATGTTATTTTTGATGCTGAGTGGGGCTGTTAACCTCCACACAGACTTAAGAGTATTGAAAGCTTGTCATGCTTTCCCTATCCTTGTTTTGATATCCTCATCAAATCCGTTCGCTTGTAGTTGAAATGATGCTTCCAAGGTAGGTAGGTAGGTAAAGGAGATTGCTTCTTTTAGATTCCTTCCATTTATGCTGGCTGATTGCTGTCTGTTCTTGTTGTTGCTGTGGCTGTTGTTGTTGACCAGGAATCTTCATCACCTCTGTTTTATCTATGTTCACCTGAAGTCCTACCTTCTCTGGATGCTTCTTCTACCTCCAGCTTGTTGCTTTTCACTTGCACATCTTCCTGTTTGTGGGAAATCAGACATATATGTGTCATTGGCGAAGTCCAGATCCTCCAAGTTTTTGTGTGAGTCCATTTAATACCTGCTTCCTCATCGCCCGCCACTGTCTGTCGCATTATCCAATCTACTGCAATCAGGAAAATCATTGGAGATAATAGACAGCCTTACCTCACTCACGTCCTCACTTCGAAAGCTTCCTTAAGTTTCCCGTTGTGGATTACTTGGCATGCAGCATTGTCGTATAACTGTTGGATGAGATGTATGATTGTCGGTGGCACCCTGTAGTAGCGAAGTAGTTGCCAAATGACCTCTTGATCGATGCTGTCAAAGGCCTTTCCGAAGTCGATGAAGTTGACCTTTGACCTGAAATATTTCTAGAATAGTACTACTAGCTATCTTCTGTTTATTACATTTAGTAATTTTATTAAGTTAACCTCTGTCCGGAAATAATTCTGCAACTTTCTCACACATTTAATGGAAATATACGAATGTACAACTGTCTAGTTGGTGACTTCGTCGAAAAGAAAATTTTCTTCACTGCAACCGTCTTTTTTTAATAGTTATGTAATCATTAATCGATATTTGTTTTCGTACATAGTTTTCAGTATCACTCAACTGCGCTTGCGGTGGAGCAAGTTATATCAGCCGTTGCTCTAGGAACTTGATTTTTCGTGCTCACCTCGAGAACATCTCCCACTTTGGCTAAGTAAAGATGTAGTGAAAACCATTAACAGTTCCATAGTGCACCATCTGGTGCAGGCCACAAAGCTAGCCATCATTGAAGAATCCTTCTCTATCACTATCTACCGGGTGCCTAATAAATTGCTAAAATCATCGAAGCTCCGAATGCTCTGAACAGCAGAGGCTATTGTAATTCGCCAACAAAACAAATAGTGCTCTGTGTGCAAAAGAAGTAAGTTCAGCTAGGCACTACTACTGCCCTGGCCAGCCAGCCTTCAGTAGAGACTAGAAATTCATGAATTTGTAATATTATCCTTCCTAATGTTTCTGACATTCAGCTTATTTTATGTTGATGCTATTGAACTTTAATCTATCAATATTATTGATTCGATATTATTTAAACAGCATTAATGGTGTTCATAACACGAATTCATTTATTCATTCACTATGATGTGGATATATAACTGTAGAGCCTGATGATGATGAAGAGGTTATTGAAAAGAGTACTATTTGTTCAGTATCCATTCTTTTGTAATCGTTAATCTCACTTAATTAGCGCTAACTGAAATCTCTTTTCTAACACTAAATTTAGATATCCAATGATTTTGCTAGTTGTAAATATTTTTAACTCAGTAGTTGATTATTATTATTGTTATTATTATTATTACACATTTCATTGCTACTCTACACAGTATGCTTAAGGTAGCATATTCTCACTTGTGCGCTGATGGTTTAGTAGCAGTACGCTCACCAACCACGCAAGTGGTTCAGAGTTTAATCCTCGCTTGATGCACTCCTGAAGCTTACGAAGCCGGCAGTGAGGCTGGTGAGAAAGATATAGGGTTAGGTTTGAGGCTAGCAATCCTACCCTGTAAAAATAGAACCTCTGCTATAGAAATTTCAAAGCTCCAGCTTGAAGCCTTATTCTCCACGTGGAAGGTAAAAGAATAAATTAATTAATTAATAATAATAACATTCAAATATTCTCAGGTAACATTCAAAGGTTGATAAACAACCAATCTACCAAAAAAATATATTGATTAGTTAACGTAATGTTTTAAAACGTAGGTGTAAGGTGATGAAGGCAATGAACTACCACCACCACCAACAGCAACAACAACAACAACAACCAGCACCAATCACCATCGACGGGAGAGATATGATAGAGGTTACTTCCTGCCTTCATTTATCCAGCCAGGAAGTACAGTTTCAACCCCAGACAGTCGAACAGTACGGATTAAGATGTCAAAGCAGGTCAGTCGGCTAGAATCAAAAAGGCAAGATACACCTTCATCAACCTGAAACCAGTCCGTAAATCTTCTGCATTGACTCATTCAGCATGTGGAACAAGATTCTAATTTTCAACATAAATGTCAAGTCAGTCAGTACTTTGATATGGGTCAGAAACTAAGCGTGTGCGTCACGAACAGCATTTCCAACAAGTCAGAGACTTTTATCAATAGCTGGCACCTTCCCTAGCTGGCTCTACATTGAAGATCAAATAGCCGCCTAGCCGGTCAGAAAGAATTAGCAGCAAGTAACTCTGTAACGGAACAAACCAACCAACCAACAAGCAAGAGTCGATTGCTCAACTAATAAATATGTAAGAGAAATTGAAGATAGATGGATCAGTCGGGCATACGTTGAGGAGTCCATCGAATGACATCATGTGCAGTGTAGGCGATCGGTGAAGTGGAAATGACGAGTGATTCGTCATCGCGAGGATGACATGGAGGAAATCGTCTGGGGGGAGGGAGGAAGAGATTGGAAATTATGAGCAATTGTGGAGCCAGCCAGCTGAAGAGAATAGCAGAGAGTAGAACAAAGTGGAGGTGTTTTCCTGAAACCCTATGTTCCACTCAAAACTCAAGGGAACAATAATAATAATAATATTCAAAATGAGTTATCACAAACCTCCATATTCCTGTCTAGTATCTTCACTTTTCCACATCCCATTAGCTTTCTCATAAAATCCAGTTGAAGACTGTGCTCTAACATGACATGTAGTTGATCGATCAGTTTTCATTCGTAATGATGATTGAGGTCTTGCAGAATTGGATGATCCATTCGACCTACTACTACAACTACTATAAGACGATGATTTCAAAGATCTGCTATTATGTTCACGTCGATGTAAAGGAGTGCCGGATGCTGGCGTCAATCCCGAGGTTGTTGTTGTTGTTGACAATGAGGATGATATTGATGGTGACAGACAATTCTTGATGGTGTTAGACTGTCGTTGTTGTTGTGGTGGTGGTGGTTGATGTCTTTTGTTGTATTTCTTGTTTGAATTTAACTTTTTGCTGTTGAAATTGTCTTTTCTCTGATGTGTTTTTATATTAGCTTCGTAAAACAGTCGAAACCATTGTGCAAATCGAAAATTTTCTGAAAATGCTCCACTAATAAGACTTTCTATTGGTATATCCTATTAGTTAGTAAAAATTTTAAAAAAGATGGAAATATTTAAAAAGCTATTGATAGAATTGATAAATGTTCATTTGATTGTTTAAACATATATATATATATATATATATATATATGTGGTGAGAGCAGGCTGCTAGCCAATTGGTAGACATTAATCTACGCTGATCGGTAGACATTAATCTAGGCTGATTCAACAACCAATCACCGCAGACTTAAACGTGGGCAAATATGATTCACAGATAGATGGCTCTACTTTTCGGGAAATATCGAAAACAACCAATCAGAAGACCACCTTTTTCTGTTTGCATAAGCCTTAATAATGTACATAAAATATATATAAATACGTGTTGATTTTCGTAATAAAACGATCTGTTGCCTGACCCTTGTCTTCTGTTGTTACATTTGGCGTCGCTGCCTCCAAAAAATGAAGATCCCATGGCCAACTGCGTTTGAAGAAGGAGACATACGTAGCTTCTTACGTGACTTGCAGGCCGTCGCTGAGCTGGTGGGTGTCAAGGGGCAGGCGGCGAAGGCAGTTGTCCTGGGGAGCGAAGGCGGCATATGACAGCGTAGACAGGTCAAATGGCACAGTGTCTTGGAAGAAATTGGTTAAAAGTTTGGTGTCGGAGTTTGACAGCGCAACAGACAGACAGCTAGCAATGCAGCAGTTCCGGTCAACGAAGCTGGGACCTGATGGAGACCCGTTAGTATTGGCGGTGAAATTGACGAATTTACTTCGACGGGCGCTTCCCACGTTGGATAAAGAATCAGAAGAGCAGAATTAGGGCCCTTGTCTTCTGTTGTTAGATATATATAGATAGAAAAATCCCCATTTAGACATTAAGAAAAAAACAGAAAGATTGAACGAAGAAATATTTACTTTTCAATTAGATCCTCATCTCTCTATCTGGCTCTTCTCTAATATATATAGCATAGACGACTGCCTCAATGAGGAGCTTAAGATTATTTCAGAATTACTTACAAAAAATGGTTATCCAAATAAATTCATTGAGAAAAATATGAATTCAGCAACTAGGAGAGTTAGTATGCCAACAGTTCCGAAAAAACCAATGTTCATAAAACAGCAGTTCCTCGGTGATAACATCAGCGAGATGATAACACAGCGCCTGAAGAATGCAGTTAAAAGAGCTTATTATGTAGCAGAGGTATGTTGCCTCTTTACAACCACCCCTCTTCTACATTGGGCATACAATTAGGCAGGTTCATCACATCGTATTTCCGGACATCATCCTGCAGCATGGTTAAACAAAGGACAAACAAGATCTCTTCGTAGCTCTGTTGTAGCACACCTTGTAGATAGTGAGCATAAGGCTGGTGTTAATACAGCATTTAAAATTATCTATCGCATTCCTACTAATCTTAATTTTGTTCTACAAGTTCGTCTTCTACATACAGCTGAAGCAGTAGGAATCCACCTGAAGAAGCCAACAAACCCGTGTGTTCAGAAGAAATCTATACAGCCACTTTCCTTACCGTGGCCATCACCATATGAGTGCATAAACCGGACTACTTCACCCACCTCCAGATATACCTTTAAAATTATAAAAATTATAATTGTCCAAATTACTTTATTTTATTTTTCCTGACCACTTCATCTTTAATCTACGTATTATCCTTGTAAAATTAATTTATTCTAACCAGTTCTACCTTTTAATTGTGTGTGTTGATTTTCTTCGTTAATTATCACCCGTCGCCTTGACATGTTGACACTGACTAATTATTGTTAAGAAAGATATCAGTGCCACTAGCTGATTGGTAAACTGTTGTGTATTGTAATAAAAAATGCATATAAAGGTGCATATTAGATTAGAGCCAGGGTGAGATGAGGATCTAATTGGAAAGCAAATATTCCTGCAATCAATCTTTCTGTTTTATATATATATATATATATATATATACAAACCTAACAACTTTAGATGTGAAGTTGTTAAACAATGCAAATAGGCCAATAAATGAAGTTGTGAAGCTGCTTAGATGGTGATAACTAAGACGAGTGTTGCACATGCCAAGATACTACCTTCGGTGATGAGCAATATTAGCTGGCATAGAGGTGGGTTGGAAAAGAGTTAAGGGTGGTCAAATCAATACAAGGAATCAATCCCAGAAAGTCTTTGAAAGATGGTTTGAGCTAGCCATATAAGGAGGCGTAGACGGCCCGAATGGTCCACCGAGGGAGAGAGGGCTCTCGAGTAGTTACGCCGCAGGATTATCCTGCATGCCGGTCTCGTCTCGCAAGAGGCAGAGATGGGTGTGTTTGGTTCTCCTGGAAACCAATATCCAGTCAGTAGGGGTATCACTGTGTGAATTCCCAAACAAAATACTAAGCCACATCATCCTGAAGAGATTCAAACACGCCACCCTGGATGAAAAACTTCAACCGGAACAGGCTGGATTTAGGAGAAACAAGTCGTGCACTGATCAAATCGCCACACTATGTATCATCACTGAACAAAGCTTGGTGGAATGGCAGTCACCTCTCTATCTCAACTTCATCGACTATGAAAAGGCCTTCGACAGCGTCGATCAAGAGGTGATTTGTCAACTACTTCGCTACTAAAGGGTGCCACCGACAATCATACATCTCATCCAACATATGTACGACAATGCTGCATGCTAAATAATCCAAACTCATGGAATCCTTCGGAGTGAAGACGGGAGTAAGACAAGCTGGCTGTCTATTATCGCCAATGATTTTCCTGATTGCAGTAGATTGGATAATGCGACAGACAAAGGGAAATGAGGAGACAGGCATAAAATGGACTCAAACAAAAAAGAACTTAGAGGATCTGGACTTCGCCGATGACACATATATGTCTGATTTCCCACAAACTGGAAGATGTGCAAGTAAAAAGCAACAAGCTGGCAGAAGAAGCATCAAAGATACGACTTCAAGTGAACATAGATAAAACAGAGGTGATGAAGATTCCTGGTCAACAACAACAGCCACAGCAACAACAAGAACAGACAGCAATCAGCCATAATAAATGGGAGGAATATAAAAGAAGCAATCTCCTTTACCTACCTACCTAGCCGGGAAGCATCATTTCAGCTACAAGCGAACGGATTTGATGAGGATATCAAAGCAAGGATAGGGAAAGCATGATAAGCTTTCAATACTCTTAAGTCTGTGTGGAGGTTAACAGCCCACTCAGCATCAAAAATAACATCCTGATTTTCAACTCCAATGTGAAGTCAGTGCTACTCACTATACGGATCAGAGACTTGGCCAGCGCGTCATAAAGAGCACCTCGAACAAACTACAGACCTTCATTAACGGTTGTCTTTGCTCAATACTCGAGATCAGATGGCCAGAATAGATCAGCAACAGGGATCTCTGGCAGTGAGCGAACCAACACAGCAGGAACCGATTGTGAAACAAATAAGCAGGAATAAATGGAGATGGATTGGCTGGCCATACTCTGAGAAAACAAACCATCAAGTGACATCACTAGACAGGCCATCACTCGAGTGGAACCCGACAGAATGGGAAGCGGGGAGTTTGTCGTCCAAGGGTGTCTTGGAGGAGGAGGTGTTGTGAAGAGGAGATCAAAGCATATGGGTAGACTTAGAGTCAGGTGAAAACTTTAGCAGAGAACCGAAGTCAATGGAGACGCGCGGCTAAAGCCCTATGTTCCTATAGGAATTAAAGGAAATAATAATAAGACTGCGTGAATGGTTAGGTTCCCTCTGGATGCTAAGATCCAGTGACGGCATGTTGTTTATAACATGAGTGAAAGTCGTTGTCAGTAACGCGATTGCATTCACTCTTTGTGAACTCCCATGTCCATTTGGCCTTCATGATTTCCTATGCCACTGTTCCTTTTCTCATACATTTATGCTACATAACGTTTGATAACTTGTAATTCTGCACTTCTGTGCAGAATTCTATCGTCAAGCTAAGTCAGCCGGTCAATTGGCTTCTCTTATTTCCAAGCTTACTATCATCTTGCAAAGTGGGTTAGGTTTAGAACTGTATAGTTTGGAAATCGAGTCCATTCTAGATGCGTCTCTGGCGAGTATACTACCATAGTTTTCGATTGGCACGCAGTCATATGTGAAAGTAGGCTAAGATAAACTGCAACAGATCGATGCGGACACTAAAGTTGTATTATCCTTGGCATTATCCCTTAAGTCTCATGAAGTGGTTAATAGATTTAACTATACAGAAATTACCTAGTGCTTCATAATGAGTTAAAGTTGGAATGTGTTAGAAGAGAGCTAGAGTTGGCCTGATAAAAAATGTGGTTTAAATCCGTAAAGTAACGGAATACTTTTCTGAGCTATACAGAGAGCATAAGTTTAACTAGAATGGGTCATCATAATTTGAGTAATTAATTTTGATGTATATTTTTAACAATACCTATAGTGAATTCTTTCTTATCGTTTTATTTCACTGGATTCAAACGCTGAAAATTCGCAAAACTATTTGGCATTGTTACAGTAATGCAGATTGCAGCCATGAAACTCTAGTTGCATAATTGATAAGGCAGTTAAACTGTACGGTATGCTTATTTTTACACTGTAAACTTAATATTTTACAATGCTGTTGTTCCATTAACAAAGTATGCTGATAATCTACTATGGCTTTGGAACCACAGTTTGTAAGCAAAATTTCGAGAATGATTTTGGTACACACCTAGACGAGTTTCAAAGGCTTGACATAATGGGACAATCTGAAATCAACTGAAAGCGCTGAAACTACTTAAATCAAGTGTATTCACAAGAAAACTAGCTGGAATAGGCTTCCAGAAGAAGTTATTTCTGCCCTTTTAATCGGTTAGTTCATTGTGGAATTAAACGAGCACAAATATTTAATAGAAAAAGACTAACATAGGCTTGAAGCATTCTATCATCTATCAAAAGTCTGTAAACCTGAACCTTGAGTTTAAGGGTGAAAATGACAACCTCGCGCTGAAAAAGGATCTTACGAAACTGTTGAAGTGACACAAAAAATGAATGTTCTCAATCAGCAGAGTGATGTTCACAATCCTGCACATAAGGCTAGCAAGCATCAACTTATTTACCATGGAAAAAATACAACTCCAATCAGTTTTGACAACGACAAACTCTTGCTTGAAGTCTAAGATCATTATGGGCAACCTTCAGGGCCTTTTCCAGAAATATCGGGGAAATATTCAGCACTTTATGTACACCTCTGGATAGGTTAAGGTTCAAAAAATGGATCCAGTTAGCTAGTTATCGTCTACACATGGTTCAGAAGAAGGCTGCTCATATGATTTCTGGTATGATAAATTTATCAAACAAGGAAAGAGTTAGCAGTTTGTAGCTTTCTCTTTATCGTATCGTACGCAGAGAGGAAATCTCACCACAAGATTCGAGCTAATAAGGAGTGACTTAAGACATGGTCTACCGTCACTTTTTCTTGTTACCGAGTCGCAATACCTCAGAGGACATTCCAGGGGGTCTGAAAAGCCAAGGAGGAACTATATGGTTTCCGAACACCGATCTTCCCACTGAATCATTAACTCTTAGAACCAAATCCCAGGAAAAGAGGTTTTAATTTCCCTAAGTGGGATCTCTTAAGAGGAGATTAGACAAACACAGATAATTATTAGAAAAGGAAACCTTCTATCCTCAATCAAAAAATTTCAATCTAACTCTCAGTCTTAAAACTAAACCCAACAAAATTATACACCTAGATAAGCAACACGTTCTGAGGGCAAAACACAAACCGCAATAATGATTAGTCGGGTGGTTAATTCACCGCAGCTAGTTGTGAAATTTATCGATTGTGTTTAAAACGTCGTGACATAATCATACAGTGAAATTAAAATCATCAGTGCAACAAGTCCCCATAAATTTATCCATTCGTCAGTGCTTTAAAAAGCTATCAAAATCACAAAGTACACGCTTCATTAGTTTGTAGAATTTCAGCATTCTTCTCATATATGAAGGCTTCTTGCCTTATTTTCTCAGTTACAAGTTATATATTAATATTCCTTCTTGAAGTGTTAGCAGATAGTTACAGATGAATAAAAAGTAAAGAAAGAATTAAATGAAGACTTTTTGCGTGAATCCGAAATTAAAAAAGCTGATGGAGGCGACAATTACCTTGCTAACTTCACACTCTCTGAAAGCATTAAGCAGAAGCTTATAATTCCCAAAAGATTCATAAGCAGATTTTGCACTGAAATTTATTCTATTAACACAAATACTGCCTTCACATAATTAAAGTAAGTTATTATGAACTGACCAGGAAATAGCTTCTCCATAATCTGGCAATATATAGAACCTAATGTAGTAACTTACAAATAAATATATCTTACCGTTTGCAAGGTCTTCCAACCGAGTAATACTAAAACCTAGAGAAACTACGAGCCAGTCAAGGATTTCTTTACGTGTTAAATGCACGGTATTGTTTGTAATACTATGCACATTTACTGCTTTCATGGGTGGAGTTTCAAACTTGGCGCTCATGACTACAATGACACTATATATCGTGAGTCGACTACTTCAATATCCAATATCGTGTAGACCAATCTGATTTCTTTGTGCTTGCTTCTTTGTTGTAAGATACGGTTTCCTAGTCTCCGGCTAACTTCTGCATAGTTCGTCCCGACACTCAACTGTCGTAGCTTTGTCTGACTCCAAAAAGAGTAGTGCTGGGATTAATAATATGTTGTTTGTAGTATGCGGTCTGTTAAGACCATGTTGCTATTGGGAAGGGAGTTGATCCTTTCACCAGTTAGTCCTCCAGTGTCTTCGGCGAAAGAAAAGAGATAATAATAGATGTAAGTAGTGTAGGTTATTCAAACCAAAAGACAGAAAACGAAATCAAGGAAACGTAAAACCAGACAGTCAATTAAGTTTGAAGTTGATGTATATATATATATATATATATAATATCAATAGTAATAATCAGTGTAAGTGTAACAGTTGGAGTAGTCAGGAGTAAAAGACAGGAGGGAATGTAAATAAGTGAAACGAGGAGTTTAGATGTAGTCTCTTGGATTTTAAGAGAATAAGCCGTTTGGACCCAGTCCTTGTGCCACTGCTTGACTGTTGAGACTCTGTTTAAAGTGGAGTAGCCACATCTACCGGTAAGGATTTCTATGGATGGCAAAAACACAGTGAAAAAAGAGAGCATCCGAGTCTTTGCCTTCTGGTGATCTATCCTTTGGGGATTTTCACGGGGTAGCCCACATCTACGTGCACCTTTGTTTGGGTGAATCTGGTCATCTGTTACCTTGTTAGCATTAATCAAGTCCCCCTAAGTTGACGGTAGCTAGGTGCAAAGAGACCTCGTTTCTTCAGTTGTTATTCATATGATTTGTTTCAGAGACTCATCAGTCCTTTTATCGCCCTCTTTGGACTATTTCCAAATGGTTCGAGTCTCTTCTAAGCAGTGGGGGTACAATGATCTTGTGCACTTCGTGGCATGGTCTGAAGAACGTTTTGTACAAACTTAGAAAGGGCTCAGGAATGTCTGCGTGTTAAGTGTGTGATCGCATATGCCCTCGAGGGATCTCCAGCATAAATCACACTTATGTCCATTTTCTCCGTCAGAACTGGGCCTAAGTCACTTTTAGACGTTGTGCTGGGCAAGCTGTAGTTGCACAGGGTGGAACTTGCATTTTTTAGCCCAACGATATGTAATTTCACTAGTTCGCAGTTTTTCAGGTTGCAGGTCATACTATTGACTAACACCAAGTCTTCCAGAAGCTTTAGGTCTGCCTGCGCTTATTTGAGTCTTCTGAGTGCTTTATTGTTCTCCAAATCGTTACGTCGTCAGCGTAAAGAAAAGTCTGGCGACCTAGATGGCATGGTAGGGTTACTGATAAAAATCAAAAGCATCAGTGACCCTGTGGTAGAGCCCTGTGATATCACGATGATGAGCTGTGCCAAGATGATCGTAGTCGATTGAAATGAGTGCAAAATTGTCTTCCAGCTAGGCAGTCCTTCAACAATGACAGAAATGGTTCACCTATACCTGCCAGACTTACTTTGTGTAAGAGGAGGTCATGGTGAACTGTGTCGAATGCCTAGAAAGACCACATGAATCGGAATATTCATATCCGACCATGTTGTCTGATCGTTCCAAGCTGATAGTAGGTATGTTAAACAGTATCCGCCTTTCGTGAAACCACGGTGTGCATCATGGAATCTATTAGCCCTACCAAGGTGCTTTCTTATGTGATCATCAATTATACTTTCCCGTACTTCTGATACGGCTGTCAGTAGTGCTACCGGTCTATAACTGGTGGCATTTTGCCTGTCCACACCCTCGAAAATTGGATAAAGGATGGCTCTTTTCCATTCACTAAACAGTTTCCTCGAATCAACCGCGTGTTGGCAGTAGTCGCACAAGGGCCTATGGTGAGCTTCAGCACAGTGTTTCAGAAGAGATGCCATGATGTAGACATACCCCGAGGACTTTCCAGATGTGAGTCTCTGGGTGTCAATGGAGTTGAAGATTGAACGATCAATTCATGGTTGTTTGCTCAAAATCAACTTCCCCAATTTTCGCGGAGGCATCAATACGACAGTCATCGTCTCATCGGTCGCTGTTCAGAAAGAAGAGTGAAACATCGTCAGAAGTAATACAGAGATTTATTATTGTAATATTTGTTTTCAGACCTTAGTTCGCTTATTCCTTTTATATGTTGGTGTAACAATAAACAAATCTAAAGCGGCAGATCAGTGTTTTGGTTTTTGCGTCCGTTATAACTAAGCGTTTCTGAGAAATCTTCGAAGAACAGCGTGGGCCCGAGCGTAGCGAGAGCTGGGCATTAACGGTTTATGAGACGTGATTGACAGTTTCTGACGATAGAAACAGATCTGGCGGATTCAAACAGTTGGTGAAAGTTTGGATAGTCGCCGTTCATTTTTCCTGGTGCCGGTCAAGTCCTCTTTGAACAAGCAATATCTGGAACTTTTTGGAATTGGGTCAAGTTCAACAATGCCTGGGTCAAAGAAGGGACAGAGTGTCTTGGATGCAAACAGGAAAGTAAGTCATGGTGACTTGTCTGTTAATTGTAACGATGTGTCTGATGTTAAGCATGACATGGTTGATGTTACTGTTTCGCCGTTCAGGGATAATAGGAACATCAAACTCCCTAAATTTGAACCACGGTGTTTTGATGGAAACCCGGCTGATTATTTACAATTTGTAAAGGAGTTTGAGATCATGTTGAGTGGTTTTTTATTAAATGATGAATTGAAGTTAATGTATTTGATGAGATATTGCACTGGAGATGCTGCAAGAGCTATACAGTGCTGTAAGTTTATGAAGCCAAAAGAGGGCTACTACGAGGCTATGAGCATATTACGTCAAAGGTTTGGAAGACCTTCGATGATTGCAGGGAAATTATTCGAGGCTGTTAAGGGTAATGGTGGTCAATTACAGGATGACTCCCAGGCACTCACTGAGTTTTTAGATAATTTGCTAATTTACAAGAATGGAATGATTTCGATGAATCGCACGAGTGACCTCAACTCGAGTTTTATACTAGAAGTAATAGCAAGACGTCTACCTACTCGACTGCAAAGGAAGTGGGTGAAGATAAGCTCCCGTATGGAGGATGAGGGTATCGAGCCAAAGTTTGATGATATCCTGAAACTGGTAAAAGATAGTGTCAATCAATCTATGAGCAAGTTCGCCAGTCTATTACATCTCACCCCTAGAATAGAGCAGTCTGAGATCAAAATGCAATCATTGATGACGAGTAGGCCTCAGAGAGGTGGATATCGAGAAGGCTCCATGATGTCTAGTAATGCATATAGACCTAGTGAGTGTAACAGGTTTCGTAGTACATCCTCAACAGATAAGTTACAAGATGCAAGACAAACACGGTTGTGTTTTACACGTGTGCAAGAGGTGCATACAGAAGTGAACTGTGAACCGGTGAGCAAGTTCAGTGATAAGCTAAATGTAAACTCCAGGTCTGACTCCGAATTGTGTGACGATAACGGTGTTGTGAAGAAGTCTGTAGTTGCAACTGGTAAGCCGTTGTTGAATAGAGTGTCACAGAATAGAGTTACTGCTTCAGAGTGCAGTTCTGACTCCACAAGTTTACAAGGTATTACTAGTCAGAGTGAAGATATAAAACCTTTAATGATTTGCGAGGAGGAACCAAAATTGTCTACTTCTGTTATTAAAGAGTTTGAAAATGATGAAGTTGACGGTAAAGTGAATATTCGTGATAATGATCATGATACTTCACAGTTGTCTTTGGTTGATCATTATGAGATGAGGGATATGCCTACTACTGCTAAGTTAAATAAAGGTTCTGTACAACTACAACGTGAAGTAGAATTGAACGCAGATGCAGTTCCAGAAGGTGTGCATACTTGTGAGACAGTCAGTGTAATTGATCAGCGTGTAGCCCACCTATCATCAGATGATAGTGCTAAACCCGAACTAGTAGTGAAAGACAGCAGTGGTGGTAATCTTGCAGTTGGACAACTATCTGAGAGCCGAACAAGAACAGCTTCTGATCCACCACTAAGTTCATCACCTTGTGTCACTCAGTCATCGTTGGTGCTGTCATCCACAATGAAACAGACACCCATCAACTCAAGTATCTTGTGCAATGACTATGGTAGTATCAGTTCGTTTGAAAGGACGAATATCAATGGTCAGTTTAGTGTGGATAAGCCAAGTGTAAAGGAGAGAGTTATTGTTAAATTGACTTGCACGAATAAAGGCATTTCTAGTTTCAAGTTACTATTTGAATGTTATTATCTTTGGTGTAAATTACTCTGTTTCTACACTTGGTTGATGAGATATGTCGTGTGTTTGTTGGTCATCTATATTCTACGATACAATGACATGGGCGTGTTGCCGTTCAGATTTGAGGATATAGCTGATAGAAGGAAGTTAGCAAATGAACTCTGCGACGATTTTCCAACCTAGGGCGTCAACCTGAGAAGGGTTGTAGGCGTACTGGTGTAAGTCCTACAGTTCTTCAAAGGGTAGCGCATCAATGAGCAGTCCAATGTGCTTGGTGTATGATTTTGTACATATGTTCATATTGTATATACTGAATTGATATCATCTGTCATCTAGCTGTTGGTAATTCTGTTTGTGTCCGGACGACTTCCACTTGGATCATCAACCTGAGAAGGAATGTAGGCGTACTGCTGTAAGTCCTACAGTTCTTCAAGGGTAGTTTGTCGTGTCAGAATCCACAACATTTGATGTGTTGATTGTACATATGTTTGTGTTAAATAGTTGTGTGAGTTCCAATTGATGTAATTGTTGGTTAATCTTGTTTGTGTCCGGACATTCCACAACTTACAATCGTCAACCTGTGAAGGGTTGCAGGCGTACTGGTGTAAGTCCTGCAATTCTTCAAAGGAATTCCATCAAGACATGATCGGCGAGGTTGTTTGTACTGTTTGTATATATGTGTGGTGTGTTCTATCAATTGATGTTTTTTGGATTCATTGTGTTTACTTGTTGTTTTCGTATCTTG